CAGTCACATTTCTTCCTCGCTGACCACATACTTGACGATAGGCCCTCTCTCCTCTTAAAGCTCGTCCTTGACTTCGTGCGGTCCAAATACTGTATTGTAGCCACACTCATCTATAAATACAGTGTGATTTACGACTGCATGACCCATGAACCAGTTTCCATATTCTACTCGTTTTTGTAGGACATCAGGGCGGTTTCTATCAGCCGGCAGAGGTCTTGCCAATTTCACTCGATATAACATTCCTTCGAGAGCTCTCGCTACGGTACGGTCGTGAATTATCGGCTTATGTGGAAGGCGTAGTCTCAATTCGCGATTCATCTCGGCAATTGTTAGAAGGCAATTTTCATTGATAATGTCATGTAGACAGTCCCGCATGGCATCATCTACCCGTACATGATTGGCGCCACCTCGCAGTCTTTCAGCTATCCTTCCTTCTCGGACGTAGCGTGAAACTATACCTCTTGCAGTCGATCTATTTACTCCTATAGTTTCAGCAATCGCCAAATAATCTTGATGGACATCTTCAAAGGCACGAACAATCCTTTCGCGTTGTTGCAGAGAGATTCGGTCTCTGGGTGGCATTCTTTGACTCTTGTACTGTACAGCACTGTACTGTACATGTACCTGTATTTCGCGGACAGCGTTACGTTCAAAGATATTCCTCCTTTCATAGCTGTCTCATGAAAAGATTGAGCAACATCAAATTTAAATGATAACCTACATGTACACGTATTGTACATGTACTTTCTTACCTATTGGCCATTGTTTGTTTTTTTTTTGACAACTGGTAGTGAACTCACTAATGAACACTTTTTTTCTTCCTATTGAACATGCTCATCATTCAAATAATAGTTCGAATCGCGAGATGGAATGTTACTTTGCAATGAATAATTGTCTCTTGACGCCATTGATTGCGCCTCTCTATGCTAATTGTCTTATTGAATGTTCCTTTTTCACTTATGATTGTCCGAAGATGTTATTGATTTTCTTTTGGTGTTTTTGATTGTCAATTGCGCGCCTTTAAATGTCCACTTGGCGTCCTTGATTGTCGATAGATGCTCTTGTTTGTTCGTTGTCACTATTTATTGTTTATAAACATGCAAATTGCGCTCTTGAATGTTCCGTGGCGTTAATGAAGTGCTTCTTGGTGTTATAGAATGTATATTCGCCTCATTGATTCTACACTTCGCGAAAATGAATATCTTTTTCGCCTAAATTATCAGCAAAAGGTGTAAATGTATTGCACCTGAATTGGTGAAAGTAGACTCTACAAAGATCAATTTCCAAGACATGTTCTTACGTAAATCCGCTCGAACTTAAACCCTGGACCCTTTAAAAAGAAAATACAGTCTTCGGAACATACCAACAATAAATTCCTGCCACTCTGAATGAGGCCCTTCCTCAATTGTAAACGCCGTAACAGCGACAGTGTATTTCCGCCCTCCATCCAAATGATCGATGATAATCCACGTTTCCGAGGAACTAACGTTATACTTGGTTGCTGACTCCGGGTCATGATCGTGATAGTCTTTTACGAATACTGTGTAACCACGCAGCTGGCCATTTGCAACTTCTCTAGTTATTGCGTCCCACGTTACCAGGATTCTATTGTGTTGTAATAGTTCCACGTGTACATTATCCGGCCCTCGGGAGGGAGCTTGCAAGATAAATAAAGTTTAGGTTAGAAATTGCTACCCAGGTAGAACAAACATCAGATTCTGGTTGTTCGAATGGTAAAAAACTCTATCCACGAGAGCACATTACGTTTGTTTATCGCTAATCCCCTGGAGAACGATTTATTTGTTATCCATCCTTTGAACAAGTAGGTAAGGTCATTGTACACGTTAGCTTAGTGAATAGTTACTTTCGAGAGCGTATCCGGTTTCTGAAGCTAAGCTACAGTCGAACCTATATCAAGCGGCATCGTGTAAGGCGGTCACCTTGTATTTAGCGGTCGGTTGTCAAAGCAATGAATTTTTTTCCCCTGACTAATGGCTTTCCCAGCCATTTCAATTCAGGAATCAACTTGCGTGAAAAAGAGTGTTCCCTATACGATCCTCTCAGTGTTACAATATTTCAAAACACTCAGTTTATAGAAAATTCAATCGAAGTTCTATTTCCTTACCTCCCTCTGGAGTTGTTACTGAGTCATTTTGACTAAGATACATTTTATCTCCAGCTACAAAAGCGACGACATCAAGGACATAGTCTCGGTTGGGCATGAGTAAGTTCTTCATGCGGTAGGATGTGTCGTGTTCGTTAACAGGTACCATAATGGAAACGTTCTTTTGAGTGAATCTCACATAAAGGCTTTGGATGTCCCCACCAGGGGGAAAAACTCCCCAAGATAGATCAGCTGACCATGAATCTAAACTCGACGAGAAGTTCCATGACTCCAAATAGGTCTCTGAGACGAGAGATGACATTTGCTGTCAAAATAGTTCTTACAGTTTCGATTTGCTTTACTTTTGGTCTGTTTGTTTGTTGAATCTGCTTCTCAGTATCTTTGTAAAAGGGTTTTTTTTAATGTTTTTGTTTTTCCAGGTAAAGATAAATGAATGAGTAAGATATGGAAATAATGAAAATAAGTGCAATCCATAAACGAGCGCTCGGCTAATGTCAAAGTGTAATTTTCTGGTGCGGGATATATTTTGTCTTACATAGACTCTTCCAACACAACGCTGAGGGTACTAAGGAAGTCTGAAACATTCATACTCTAGGGAATTAGGAGAAGTGGGTAACCTGTGGTGGGCAAGCAACCCATCTATTATAATTGCGATTTTATGCGGTGGGCAGACTAAATTGATATTTTTCAAGTAATTTTTTGTTGACAAGGTAATTTTCTCAACCATATTGGGAAAAATGCTTCAGATTCAAATAAAAATGTTAAAAATGCGAAATAAACCTTTCCTGATCAATTGCGGGGCACATACCTTCGATCTCGTCGAGTCCATAATACGATGCGTGAAAACCATCATCACGTCTGTAATCTTCTCTTCCTTGGGCAAAGAACTTAACATCTGCTTGGTCGCCGGACACGATAGCATGGAAGTGATCAAAGTGTCTGCATACTAAGGAAGGAGTGCCGCTATCTCCCGTTGAAATGCCAACCCAGTCATTGAACCTAGGGGGGGGAAGGAAGAAAAAGTTTCAGATGATTAATTCATAATTTTATAAATGAATCGTCAGCCAAAATAACAATTGTTTGTCACTAGAAAAGGATAGAGGGAGAATAAAAAAAAGACTAAAATGTAAAATGACGGTTGCGGTAAAAGGCGGATAACACTAGAACCGAGGCAATAAGGAAAAGATGAAAAAAAAAATCTCTACTCTAACCAGGAAGCCTACTCAGCTAGCGCTTATCCCAGTTTCCTTTGCATGGAGTGACTAGAGGTATCACCCCTCCCATCTGGGTATAATGCTATTCCATCGCATTTCATTGAGCTTCCCTGACAACTCGTTGATACGCATTTAAACTTAAGCGAGAAAGAGCTGAATGTAAAAGAATAATGAAGGAAAACATGAAAAATGGACAAAATTAAACGACACAGTAAATTGAAACCGTATGCAACACTTATAGTTTTGAATGTCTGTAATGGTGGAACGAGGCAGGTAGAGCTTCATTTATGAACGAACGACTCCAAAATGGACCAGATTCTCACCCGCATCCTTTATCATGTTCATATTCCACCAGACGGAAATCTTTAAACGTCATCCATATGTTCTTGACCGGTTCACTGACGTTCGGCCTAATAGACCAAAGGCAATTCTGTTTTCCGCCGTATTCACAAGGTTTATTAGGGCTGTCAATTGTCCCATTGACCTCAGTCAGGATGCGTGGTTCCCCGCAACCTTGTAAAAGAAGAAAACCTTAGCTAAGCTGTGACATTTTTAGTGAATTTCGTTGACAATGCTGTTCTCTCCCCACAGTGTTTATTTCATGAGCGCGCGTTAGATATGAGATAAGCCAACGGGGCCGTTAGGGCAGATTTTGCTATAATCACATCATATCCAACAAGCGCAAGTGGAATTATTGTTGATCAAAAACGCCCCACAATATAGATTTTAAAAATATATATTTTTAGTTCCGTTTTAATTTTGAGCTGACGTATACACTTACCATATTTATAGGGCATGGTATGATATGATGGTTCATTACCCAAGATGGCTAAGCAGACGAAAACTCTTGAACTGCACTATCCAATGATCCATTATTTAACAATATAGAATATTAACCAATAAACGAACGGTGAGTGATTACAAATCCAGCTCCATGGCAAGAAAAATGACCGACCACTGTCTATCGCCTGGGGGGGGGGGGGGTTGACCGGAGGATTTTGATTGTGTCCCAATAAAATTTATTTGTTTCCCTCTCAGCCCCACTTCCAAGGTTCTGGTGTATTTTAAAGATTAACTTTGCTCACTCCCTCCGTTTATATCTGTTAGCGACAACTGATTCCTCTCGATCCCCCCTCCCTAAAATACGTGTGATCCTTCAAAAGGCC